CCTATAAGGTCGCTATGAGTGGGAATGGGCTCTGGTTCCCACTCCGGGTCAGAGTGGGCATACAACAACTCGAAGAACTCTTTTAGGCACCCACGGTGTCCTCCTTATTGCCACCAACACCCCCCCACCAAAAAGCAATGTCTAACCCACCGCACCCCAGGGCTCCTCATTACCACCACCTCAGTCCCATTCAATAGTCTAAGCCACAAGTAAAATTGTTCACCTCTCCCACACATTCTTTCCACCTTGAGCAATCCTTTAAAGGTGCAAGTCTAATCATGTCTTGTCCTGGCTGAAAATCCCATGACTTCAACCTGCCTTTGGGATCAGAACCTACATTCTTAGCAAAACTCTTCCTGGTGCTTGTTGGTCTCCCCCATTCATGGAAATATGGCTTTTGGAAAGAGTGTGAAAAGAATTCCAAGGGATAAAACCGCGGTCACTCAGCGGGGGCCATATTTACTGAACTGATTTGGAATGAGTGGGTTTTGGAGTTTTTCTTACCCTAGTGAATTTCCTCTTCAATAAGGTTTGAAAACATGACTAGGGCATCCAAAAGCCCTGGTGGGCACACCACTTAAGTGCTTGGTTGCTGTCAAACAGTTGATGGTTTGCACCCCACCCAGCGACTCTGCTGCAAAAAGACCTGGCTATCTAGCTCCTAAAGATGACAGCCTCAAACACTCTAAGGGGCCGTTCTCTGTGATACGGGGTCAGTCAGTGCTAGGAGTCGGAATTGACTCAATGAGCACCCAACAATAAGAGCATACAAGCAACAGTGGGGTTTAACGGAATGATCAGAGCTTTTATTATCAGAAAACGACTCCATTTTTACAAATACTGACTGAGAACTTCTTGTCTGACAGGCAGACCCCAGGACCAGATGCATGTTCACTTTTTAACGCTCCGCACCAACCTCCTTCAGCTACAAATCAGAAATAACATCATCCCCATCTCACAGGTTGACTCTGAGATCCAACTAGATAGTATGGCTGACAGTATTCTGTAAACTGTAAC